CGGTAACCGTTCTACCAATTTGTACCAAACTCGGTGTGGTTATTGTGCTTGCCACATATAAGCAAAACGTTGAAAATTATTGAAATCGGACTAAAATAACGGCCGCTTCTCATATAAAGGTAAATTTCAGAAATGCTTGAAACTTCAATATTTCGAAATTGAAGGACGCTAATTTACTCAAAATTGATACACCCCGGCATACCATCTAGCGGAAGGTTTCGGAAAGGTGAAAAAACATATATTTAATACTTGCGCCGGGTATTTAATGTTCGGCTTCGCCCGAACTTAGACTTTCTTACTTGTTATTCTTTTCAACTTTCTTATCGAAGTCGATCAGAAAGTATAAGAGTATCACAATTCAATTTGTATGCGCGCAGTTGACGAAGAAAATTGGCGATGGCTATACTACACTCTAGCTTTTGGAAAGTGTTGGCAAAGTTTTAATGCTCTGTTGAACTTTGAATGCGGAAGTGGCGAATATTGATCGTCATTGATAGAGGCAAGCAAGGGGATGTGCATATGTAGAAATTAAAAAAAAAAAGTTTATTTACACTCACTGTTGCAATGGGAATGGAATAATTGGGAATGCAACTATGTACATACATATGTGCATACAAATGTACTAGAGTGGTCCAAAAACCGTAAAGACAGAATTTTAAAGCCACCAACCCCTAGGATTGTTCTATACCGAAAAACAATATACCTCCATTTTTCATTTTGAAAAAAAAAAAAATATTTAGGGAGTGCTCAAAGCGCTGGAAGTTTTCCATGTATTTTATACGAAAAAAAAACTTTTTTAAGAAATGGTATAGCTTTCTCGGGAATCAATATTTTTTGTTCGGAAAACTCTGTTTCTCTTCAGCAGACTTCCAGTATTAATATCTAATTGTTTATTTAACGATTTTTGTATACTAAAGATGCAATTCTCTGGGGGTTTTGGCGGACTTATAAAATATAGTTACCGTGGAAAAATGGTTAAATAAACAATTTGGTATTATTATTGGGAATCTCCTGAAAATAAGCCTGGTTTTCCGATCGAAAACTATTGATTTTCAAGAATTCTATACCATTTCTACGAAAAGTTGTTTTTTTTCCATATAAAAATACATGGAAAACTTGAAGCGCTTTGAGCACTCCGTAAATATTTTTTGATTTCAAAATAAAAAAATTGGGGATATATTTTTATCGGTACAGGACAATACTAGGGGGAAGCGGCAATAAAATCCCGCATTTACTTTTTCACATGCATTTTTGGGCCACCCTAATATGCACCTATATGTGTATAAATATGTAAATACATTCATATGTGTACACCAAGCGTTTTGAAAAGTTAAGCACACTCGTGCATGAATTTATACGTATTTATCCAATGAATAGAAAGTTTTTCAGTTATTCGGCTTTCGGAAAGCAAAAGTTACTGTTTGCAGTTAAAGATGATGGATGCTGCAAGAAATTATAATTCCTTGGATTGGTTGTTATTGATACATCAAGAAAAAAAATTTCATCGGAGTAAGTATTTACTTACTCAGCCCGCGCATCAATTCCCAAGTGACACAATTAAGCGGGCCGATTAAAAAGTATTCTTGGTACAAATTGGGTCGCCTAAGTAGCTCCCAGCTAACAAACCACAAATTTTCTTCAAGTTTATGTTAAATGGAGGCTGCTGAAGTAGAATGAACTCCACATCTACTGCTTACGCGCACATAATCCGACCCAACATTTTTTTTTTAATGTTAACACCAGAACGCCCAGAAATTTCGCGACTTCATTATTCGTTGAGTTTGTGCAGTCATAAAATCTCCATATTTTTTAAATGGTTGATTCCGTTATAAAATTTAATATATATATATATATATATAATACCCAC